ACACATCTGACTATAGCTGACACATTAGTAAGACACACCTTACTATAGATGACACATTAGTAAGACACATCTTAGTATAGATAACAAAGAAAAAGGACATTTTTAATTACAGTTGACAAGTAACTCACTACTAATTATTGGAGACAAGCACTGTTAATTCCCCTTGATAAGTACATTTAATGTATATATAGAAGGAGATGTGACATGTATGTCAGTACCTAGGTAAGAAGTAGACAGCAGGGTATTTTCATTATACATGAAATTATAAAAATGGCATCGAACCAGTCACTAAGGATCGGTTCCATCGGCTTAATCCTGTCTATTGATGACAGAGGACACCAAAACAGCGCAAATGAATGTTCGTCGTCAAACTCGGCAAATTAAAGCAGTGCGAGTGACGTATTTGCCACTTAGAAATGTACATTAGGTATTGAATCTACCGACTCTATAACGGGCAGACTAGGTGGTGAGTCGGTCAGTTACAGGTAAGGATGTTGGTTACACCAGATGGAGCATTCGCATTCATCAGGCATCATTTTTGTATTCACTATACTTGAATTGTCAGTGAGAATCGTGAAAACTAGGATGTCTACAGTGTTGACAGGGTGTTAATGTTTTATGTGGGAGAAAAAGTTTCTGTGAAGGTGTCGATTATAAGGTAATTATATTACGATGTTTCACTTAACTCTGTGGTTAAAATCAGATTGATTGAACGTCAATTCCGTATTAACTGATTTGTGTTGTTTGTTCATATTGCAAACATGTTTTGAACGTACTTTGTTTATATATGTAACATGTTAGGACTTTGTAATTGAATTATTTTGAATGTGCTTTTGCTTATAATTGTAACAGTTTTGCACTTTGTTTATAATTGTAACAGGTTTGTACTTTGTTTATAATTGTAACAGGTTTGTACTTTGTTTATAATTGTAACAGGTTTGTACTTTGTTTATAATTGTAACAGGTTTGTACTTTGTTTATAATTGTAACAGGTTTGTACTTTGTTTATAATTGTAACAGGTTTGTACTTTGTTTATAATTGTAACAGGTTTGTACTTTGTTTATAATTGTAACAGGTTTGTACTTTGTTTATAATTGTAACAGGTTTGTACTTTGTTTATAATTGTAACAGGTTTGTACTTTGTTTATAATTGTAACAGGTTTGCACTTTGTTTATAATTGTAACAGGTTTGTACTTTGTTTATAATTGTAACAGGTTTGTACTTTGTTTATAATTATAACAGGTTTGTACTTTGTTTATAATTGCAACAGGTTTGTACTTTGTCTTTATTTGAAATATGTTGTACGCATTTTATGTTCATTTGTAAAAACATGTGTATACTTTTTCTGCATGTTAGAATATACGTGCTTTGTCCGTTAAAGTAATTTGGTGTATGTACTATGTCTTAATCAATGATATATTTTGAATGTGATTTGCGTGCTTTGTCTCTACCTATAATATGTTCTATGATCTTTGTATACTCGATATACTCGTAACATATTGTGTGTACTTTGTGTATATCAAAACAATAGTATGCGTGTTTTGTATGTATAAGTAACATATTGTGTGTACTTTGTGTATATCAAAACAATAGTATGCGTGTTTTGTATGTATAAGTAACATATTGTGTGTACTTTGTGTATATCAAAACAATAGTATGCGTGTTTTGTATGTATAAGTAACATATTGTGTGTACTTTGTGTATATCAAAACAATAGTATGCGTGTTTTGTATGTATAAGTAACATATTGTGTGTACTTTGTGTATATCAAAACAATAGTATGCGTGTTTTGTATGTATAAGTAACATATTGTGTGTACTTTGTGTATATCAAAACAATAGTATGCGTGTTTTGTATGTATAAGTAACATATTGTGTGTACTTTGTGTATATCAAAACAATAGTATGCGTGTTTTGTATGTATAAGTAACATATTGTGTGTACTTTGTGTATATCAAAACAATAGTATGCGTGTTTTGTATGTATAAGTAACATATTGTGTGTACTTTGTGTATATCAAAACAATATTATGCGTGTTTTGTATGGATAAGTAATATATTGTGCGTATTTTGAATATATTTGTAGCAGGTTGTGTACTTTGTCTATATCTATAATATGTTGTGCGAACATATTATAAATATTGTATACATTTGTTTATAACATGTTGTGTATACTTTATGTATACTTACAGCATATACTTACTACAGTGTATCTCTATGTAAGAAACATGTTTTTTTAGATATGTAAGTTACTTGTTAAATGCTCTTTGTTTATTTCTATTGTAATTTTTTTTTTATATATATAATTTGTGTATTTTTCTATATTTCTATATGAATATACTTGTACATGTAGACATCACGTGATCGTTACAGGTGAAGTGTATAGACGTGTCTAACGACTGTTACCACGTGGTGGTGGGGTGCTTGGACGGAAACGTATACCTGTACAACCTACGAACAACCGACCTATTACAGACATTTAAGGGCAGTGCCTGTGATCCAGTCAGAGACGTCTGCATTTCCAGAGACGATTGTTTTATTTTCAGTGCAACAGAGGTAACTTATTTTGAAAATGTAGTATTAAAAACCAATAGAACGAAAAGTAAATTGTAACTCTCCTTGACTCTAATAAAAAGTCGAGGAAAGCATGGGTAAATAAATAAATTTAAACACGGGGGCCCAAACGTTCTTCTTTAAAAATATTGTTTGACCATTTTTTGTCAATCGTGCGTGAGGCTGTTCCGGAGTCGAAGCACGTTACTGATGAATTAATAATGGAAGGTCAATTAAATTGACACAAAAACTTAATAGCAGCGTTTGTAAGTAAACAGTTGGTTTGGTGGTATGTACGACGGTATCCTTTGAATTGTATTGATTTACAATATCGTGTCTCTAGTAATTCATTTCATTTAAAACAATCTAACTACATAGATCTTACTTACAAAATTTAGCAACCGGCATATCCAATGAAAACTCTCTTTCTCAGAACTTGTCCATGAATGTTTTAAGAAATTTAGTAAATGCACTAATGATAAATATTCTTTGTGTTTATCTGGAGGAAGAAACACTTCAACACCTATTTGTACAGTGTATTAAATTGTCTGGTTTGAAAATAGTTATGGAATGGCTAGGTGAAAATCGTTCAATTTTTCGAATATTCTATGTGGAAATATTTTGTAATGTGCTTTCTATAACTAACATAAGAAGAAAGCGAAACCAGTTTACAGAAAACATGGTAAAATAAACCATAGATGGTGTCTATACAGCTTCTCATGATACCGAAGAGTTGAAATCTTTGCGCAAAGCTCTTGGAAGAAGAAATGAAGTTAATGCTATTTCTAGTATTTATACAAAAAATATATTATTTTACTTAACTTAAAGTTTTTAAAAAAATACAAAATGTTTTAATGTTCCATGGTAAATATTTGGTTCTTATCTGCCAAAGTGTTTTCTATTTCTTTCAATTGAGTGAAATATTTATGAAAGGAAACATTTTGTTACTTCAAATACAAATTATTATCTATTTTTCTAACGAAATGAAGGGCGTTTTTTTTTAAATATTACATATATACAAAATGTAATTTTATTTTTCTAGGACAAGTATAAATACATGTATTTATGAATAAAATATTAATCGTGCAGTATTTGTGGAAGGGGTTGACGTTGGCATGAAATATAACTTTAGAACCTCATTTCTGTATGATAGATAATAAGAAACACAGACTACAAAATACAGATTACTGATAAAAGAATACTCTTTCATTGTAAATCATGAAATCCAGACATGCCGTAATGATCCAATTAGTATTGTGTGCCGTGAACGTTTCATAAAACCACAAAGGAGCGCCACGTTCCTAGTGTATTGATCTCGTTAACGAGATCGTAAAATATGTGATATTTTCAGTTTATACTATGCATCGTGAGTATGAAAAATTCTACATCGGCTAATAATGTCACTCGAGTTATAACCTAAATCACGGATGTCTCACATAACCAAAAATCAACTCCTGTATAACTCAAACGCAATAGTATAGGGATTTTAAAAAACTCTAAAAGTTCTTCTTATCCATCTTAAACATCCTTTAATTAAAAAACAAAATTATCAACGAATTTTACTCTTCCAATTTGTATACTACAAAAGATTCTACTAAAGTCGGCGAACGTTTTTGCTCTCTTACCATTAGAACTTTCTTCAAATGTGATTAGATGTTACTATTTGGGAGCATATCTTATGTAAAACACGTAGATGATCATACTTGGATGAATCCTGAAAACGAGTTTCCGATTGACAATATCTTTGTAAAGTTCGGTTGATAGATTTTGCAGCAGGCTGTTGGCTTACTTAAGAGGTTATACTGTGTCATTCTCTTATGCTTTTTGTCTTTGATTTCATGTAAGGCTGAATTTTATTGAAAAGGTTATCAGGACAAACGACTTGCCAAATGATTTATTTAGATTCAGATACATCGGTGTGAATACCAAGAAATCCATTGGCCATGTCGATTGTATGCACTACAAAACTACAAACTTTCCCACAATAGTCGATTATCTCGACATATACTTACAACATTGCTCACAGTGACATCTTACTACAATACTATATGATTAGCGAGACTATTTTGATTTTCCTATCATGAACTTTCCCTTCCTTAATAATAGCATCCCTAGATCCTCATTCGACATGTATGATACAGGAATTGATTCTGCTTATAGTCCCTTTCGTCTACAAGCTGAATACCAGCATGTTCTTTATGTTTTATGAATATCTGGGACATAGATATAACAAGATTTAATGTTTGATATAAAGTAGGAGTTATTTCTATTGAAAGGAGCAAACTGGACCATACTCAGTTAGTTTAAATTGCTGAATTTGAAAGTTCTGTTTCCCTATAAAATCAACTTACAAGTGCTGGAGGTTGTTTTTCTTTCATCACTATTTTGATATCTTATATTTTGTTAAACAGACAAAAATCAACGTTTGGAACTTCTACAAGAAGACCATGAATAAGGCGACCGAGAACGATCATAGCGGTAGTGTGACATGTGTCTACATAGACGACCAGAGTCGGTTCGCACTCTCAGGTATGTATAAAGGTGACAAATAGGATCGGTTGAAACAACGATAAATTCCTGGATTGGTCGATTTTAGCTAGGTGTTGAGGTTGGGCTAGTCGCCATCAGAAAACACTTTTTACCATGAATACCATATTTGCAGGAGGAGAGGACGGGGTGTTGAAAATGTGGAACTTGGAACTGAGTAAATTCAAGGAAAATATGCTTGGACATTCTGCTGGTATTACGTGTATCGCCGTATCTCCGGACGGATCCTGTTGTGTGACAGGCTCCAGGGACAGGACACTCCTCCTATGGAGCCTCGAACTGCTAACCTGGGTCGTGTCATACAAGGTAACGTGTCCAAAGTAATGCATGCACCAAAGCCTATGGAGAGATTAATATACCCCCTTGCCTTGAGGGCGTTAATGAGAACTCTCCAACACCATGGTGACTTTTTTGGTTATCTAACCTGAGGCTCTAACGAGGGTTAGACAACTAGTTGGGTTGGATATTTTGCTGGTTCATCCTTAAAGTAGGAGAAGATAATTTTTGTTTATCCTCTCATTTCAGTCGGAACATCAGGCTTGTTTGTAAACAAAAAGGCACAAATTGCCTATTCATATCGCCATTTAGTTTTTATGACGTTACAATCGCAATGCACATTTAATGACATTTAAACCAATATTGGATATCCCTTTTTTGCTTATGAGACCTTTCAATAAACTTTTATGTCATGTTACCATTGTCAATCAGATTATATTCAAAAGACATTGGTAACAGTTTTTTATTTTTTTATTTTTTTTATTTAATTTTTTTATTTTCAAAGATTTTCAGAACATGTACATTATACAGAACATCACATCAACACATATCCACACATTCACACATATCTACTATTGAAATTATCAGCAACCTCATCCTCCTCATCATCCTCATCATCTGATGCTGATTTTATACAATCACCAAGACACATTCAATTTTCACACACTTTCACACATAGAATAGACAAAACAAAGAGAGAGAGAGAGAGAGAGAGAGAGAGAGAGAGAGAGAGAGAGAGATCAGACTGCCAAATCTGAGAAGATACTAAATAAAATAAATAACTGCTGTGAGTATTTGTCAATATTTTGGTTTTTTTAAGTAGAATAACAACTAATAACTTAATATAAATAGTCATAATACTCAGGGTTAGTTGAGGTCAAGCTCTACTAATTTTAACCATTTTTCCCATTCAGAAGTAAATCTTCTAAGGCCTTGTTCCCCTTTACCACGAGCAATATATTTCTGAACCTTATAGTAATCTTTAATCGAATTGACTAAAGCCGTCACATTAAGTGACTTATGAAAACATCTGGTTTTGTATATATATTGTTTAATGAACAGAGTAATTTCATTATCAATTCTGGTATAAATTCCAGTTTGGTTGATAAAACCAAAGATCATTGATTCTTTATTTAGTGAGAAAGGAATAGTGAGAGCACTTAAAAGACTTTCAAAATTGCTCAGAAATTTTTGTACTTCCCTGCATTCCCATAAAACGTGGGTTGGTAACAGTTATTATCGTATAATTTATACATGATAGTCCTGCTACCTTGGTGAAGTGTAGTCATTAATGTTTTCAGCATCATGAGCTCATGATCCAAAGTGTAGAATATATTGACGAGGAGCGAATCCTGTCCTACGATGTCCAGGGAAGTTTTCATCTGTGGCAAGCGGAGACGGGAACTACTCTGACGACATACACCATTCCCGTTGCAACCTTCGTCGTGTCTAATAATGGCCGGTACCTAGTTACTTCCCGAGGCGACCAGAGGTAAGCATACAAAAACAACATCTCTGTTACTGTCGTCCTGTCTGGTGACCATCAGTATCTAGTCACGTCCCGCGGGAACTACAGTTATAAACCCCATCACCGAAGACAGAAAACGTCTCAACCTTTGCATAAAGGGTATTGTTTGTCCAGATCGATGCTATGTCGGGTTCTAGACACTGGTAAATGTTATCCCGTAGTTAGGATTTATGTCTACGCTTCAAGGTGATGACCCTCGAAGAGGGTTCGTGAAATATTGTAAGAGCCATAGAATGTGAGAGGGATTTCCAGCCATGCTATGCAGTGGAACCATTGAACGCACTCAATAGTTCAGCAACATCAAACGTGGTTAGAGACTGGATGGCTGCCCATCCCTACGTTATTTTGAAAAACCAACAGTGCTTACCGCATTCATAGTGTACAGGCATCAGTATTGTATAGTGCTTGTCAGCTGTCCCCACCCGAGGACTATACCGACGTTTTGCACCGTCAAACATCCAGGTTCATGGCTGATATGGTAAAAACTTTGTCATGCCAAGAGTGATCTGGATATACGTAGCTATTTGACTTAGAATGTATATCCGTTCTGGTTTGAGTACATTACCCAGTAGCCATCACGAAGTCGCTGACTGAGATACGTTAGAGTAGAGATTGTCAGACAGACAGAGCAGCAATCGAATACAGTGGTGCATGTTTCGCTTCCCAAGTAGCCGAAGTGTTGCAAACTTGTTAAACATGTATGGGTAATCATGGGATTGACGAAATAGTTTATGAAACACCCCAGTAAAAGTCATGACCAGAAAAAATGCACAACGTGATGTTGAAAAATCGACTTAATTTACACTGATGAACAAAACCGTGTCGAACACACCCACGTTAACCTATCTAGCAGCGAGAAATAACATCTCCGATTCTAGGATTTAATCATTTTTTCTAAGCCCTCTTCGTTGAATCATAATGTCATTCTTTCACTGAATATGGAAGAAAGCAAAGCTGATCTTGGAGGATGTGTCTGTAAGCAACTGGCTTTCGTACCATCACAAATGGTTCATGTATGAATATGCATTTGAAACGTTATTTTCACATTACGGTCAACAGAAAAAAAAACGATTTATGTTCTCGGTATTTTTATTTTTATTTTCTATTTGTCTATCTTACGCACGAGTATGAATTTGGAATGAACTGAAAAAATATTTCAAACTGAGGCATATTCACACTATTTTGTAGCAATCTGTAACGTTAAATTAATCACGCCAGGCATCAATGTTACATAGCCGTGTACTTACTACATATAGACTGAGACCATGGCGTCCTTCTTTACTGTTACAGTGGAAAGATTTGGAACACAGATGATGGCACCATGATTGGTTGTGTAAGTCACACGGAGAGGATTACATGCGTCGCGCGCTCAGTGGACGACCAATACCTGGTAACAGCTTCAGTTGATGGTTCTCTGAAAGTCTGGGAACTCGTCACCGCAAAACTTACACAGGTAAGTAAATGGTATTAAGTGTTAGTCTATCTGTATATTCATTACGGTGTTGTCTAATACATGTATGTTAAATAATGTGAACTATATTGACTAATTATGTGTTACTTGTAATTTTAATATTTGTTGATCCAAAAATGGAATTAGTGAAAAATGACTAGTGTATGAGTGGAAATAAACCAGGCTTTGAACAAGTTCCAGTTGTTCTTGAAACACGTCCTTTTGTGAATGGAAATAAAGAAATGACATTTAACGATTCTTATAAATGCCTTTAGTTATAGCTTGGGGATCATATTATAATGAGCCATACGGCAAATGCGATTGCCATGTCGGCTAGCAGGGCGCTTAGCACTCTCCTCATTTGGAGGTAATGTTTCTTGAACCTTGCTACGGAGACCAGAAGTTATGACAAATCGCCGTTTTCTTTAGAGCAAATAGTATAGTGTGCAAATATTGTACACATTCAACTACCGCAATGAAGGAAGAAACACACATTCAGTTGGCTGTGATTTTCATTTCGATCTTATATACAACCTTGCGAACCCTCAGTTCTATGAACTGTTTACCTAGGATAATGTACTTTTTAGAATTGCTGCCTCATGAGTCGATGAGGGGCTGGGTTTCCCTTGTTTACGTTGATGAGGTTGATAGTACCGTTCGACCCATAGACCTAAGGTACATGTAATATAGGACTCACGATATGACGTGGGAGATTACATGGAACTGGTGCAAGCGACACGAGCCGGTAGTTTTCATACAAAGATTGGTATCTGGGAGGTATCGTACATGTAACCGGTCCTAAATACATTTACTCGAGTGTTGTCACCTTACTTAAATACTTGAGTATAGTTGGCGGGATTCTTTTTTAAAACTGCTCACATGGTCTCATTCCCGAACGCTCCTATTGCATTGCTGTTGGTGGATTAGATGCTCCCGGTCTCTCGTTCCTTTTTTTCTCACTGTTGAGTTTGTTTTTCTTCTTAAGGGCATGATTAGGTTATTAGTCAACAAGGTGGTTGGCGTCTGTTTCTTTTATTGTTTAAGTGGGGACGGGTTGTTCGACCGTTTCCAGGAGAGTCTTCCTAAACTTAACCAACAGGGTCTCTCCATTGTACATTCAATTATTTTCCAATTTATTTTATCTCTGCCAGTTACAATCATTGGAATACTGCATACACCATAATCTGATGCTATGCTTTCTCACAAGAAGGGCTTGCACATGCCTTGGTAAGGTGAAATTACGAGGCGACCCTGTCCGTAATTGGAATAATACACGTTCATTTGCAGAGGTTTTGTGTGTCATCAGTACATAATATTCACTTACTTATCTAAAACCAATAGGTGTTGGTAGAAGATGATTGTCCCGTCACAGCGGTAGCTATACAGACGACGGACGTGGTGTCGGGGTCTGAGCGGGGCACGGTGCTGGTGTGGGACCTGTCTATAGGAGAGCCTCGTCACCGCCTGGCAGGACACACCGACAGCGTCACAGCAATCCGCATCACCAGTGATGGATCCTTCGCTATGTCAGGTAACTCTAGGAGCCACAACTATCTTTCAACACCGCGTTATTAAAGGGTCCCAAGCTACAACCTTCTAACAACCTCACATCATTGAAAATACTCAACAACAACCCTCTTACAACCTCAGGTTAATAAAATTATTTTACAAATAAACCTCTTTTCATGACAACCTCACTTCATTAATGTTTCTCCACCACATCTTTCTAACAACCTCAAAATATTAAAGGTTTTCCACCACAACCTTCTTAACAGCTCACGTTAGTTAAACCTTTCATCTCAGTTACCCTACAACCTCGCGTAAGTTAACCACTAGCAAACCTTTCATCTCAGTTACCCTACAACCTCGCGTAAGTTAACCACTAGCAAACCTTTCAACTCAGTTACCCTACAACCTCGCGTAAGTTAACCACTAGCAAACCTTTCAACTCA